ATAGATGCATGCGTATTACCTTAAATATCCCTCTAAGCACTGCTGACCTCCTGCATGTAATTTTTTCCCTCATACCCCAAACTCTACTCACCTGCAAACGCGTCCACTTAATCTGCGTGTTTATTGTCTCTCAATCCCGAAGTGAGCAACATTCACAAACTCCTCTTATATTACCCCTAATTTAGAAGGTCCCAAATCCACTTTGCATCAATAAATCACAAAAGAATAGCGTATGGTAAAAACCTCCAGGTCACTCCTAATCCCTCTCTTTCCTCCTCTTCTCCCATCTGGGAAGCTCATTGTCATTACTTCCAAAATAGGGTACCATCTGCTTATGTTTTCAACAATCCGCACTAACCAAAGACTACTCCAGGATTCACTTTATCCAGTTGACAGTATTCCTTGCTCCTCACAGCCCAACTACAATCATCAATCTTTTGAAAAATAAATAGTATCACAAGAATGCTCTATTTTAAAAGTATCCCATAGTGTCCTACTATACTTAGAAAAGCATTTGCTCCCCAAAATAAACCAAGGCCTATTTTATTTCTCACTTGTCATGTTTTATGATCTTTAGGACACTGAGATAAAACAGTTCTCACCTGCTTCCTTTCTTGCTATGTTTGCGAACCCTAAGATCACAATGGGAAGAAGCCTGGGCCCATCTGCTGACATCACTGCTCTTCCTTCCATCCATTGTTTACTCTTAACATGTGTGTTAATTTTTATGGTCATATAACAAATTACCACAAATTTATTGGCTTAAGACTACAGCCATTTATAATCTCCTGGTTTCTGAGTCAGGAGTGTGCACACGGCTTAGTTGTTTCTGTCCTTAAGGTTTTTTATTTATTTATTTGTCTGTTCATTTATTTCAATGGGGTTTTGGGGAACATCTGGTGTTTGGTTACATGAATGAGTTCTTTAGGGTGATTTCTGAGATTTTGTCGCACTCATAACCCAAGCAATGTACGCTGTACCCAGTGTATAGTCTTTTATCTCTTGCCAGCCCCTTCACATACCCCTGAGTTCCCAAAATCCAATGTATCATTCTTATACCTTTGTGTCCCTATAGCTTAGCTCCCACATATGAGTGAGAACATATGCTTGTTTTTCCATTCCTGAGTTACTTCACTTCGAATAATTGCCTCCAGTTCCATCCAAGTGGTTGAAATGATATTATTTCATTCCTTTTTATGGCTGAGTAGTATTCTACTATATATACGTGTGTGTGTGTGTATATATGTACATATGTGTGTGTATATGTACATATGTACATACATATATGTATGTAAATATATATGTATACTTAGGCATGTATATAGTATATATACATGTATATATGTATGTGTATATATACGTATATATACGTATATATGTATTTTTATATATGGCATTTGAGCTGGTCTCATAATTTTCAATTGCAAATTGTGCTGCTGTAAATACGCATGTGCAAGTATCTTTTTTGTATAATGACTTCTTTTCCTCTGGGTAGATACCTAGTAGTGGATTTCTGGATCAGATAGGTCTACTTTTAGTTCATAAAGGAATCACCACACTGTTTTCCATAGTGCTTATACTAGTTACATTCCTACCCACAGTGTAAAAGCATTCCCATTTCACGGCATTCACCCCAACATCTGTAACTTTTTGCTTTTCTGATTATGCCCATTCTTGCAGGAGTGAGGTGGTATTGCATTGTAGTTTTGATTTGCATTTCCCTGATAATTAGTGATGTTGAGTTTTTTCCATATGTTTGTTGACCATTTGTATATCCTCTTTTGAGAATCGTCTATTCATGTCCTTAGCCCACTTGCTGATAGGACTGTTTGTTTTCTCTGGCTGATTTTTTTTTTTTTTCTTTTGAGTTCTTTGTAGATTCTGGATATTAGTCCTTTGTTGGTGGTATAGATCATGAAGATTTTCTCCCACTCTGTGGGTTGTCTGTTAACTCTGCTGATTATTTCTTTTACTTAGCAGAAGCTTTTTAGTTTAATAAGTCCCATCTACTTATCTTTCTTTTTCTTGCATTTGTTTTGGGGTTTCTGGTCATGAAGTCTTTGCCCAGGCCAATGTCTAGAAGGGTTTTTAAATGTTGTCTCCTTGAATCTTTATAATTTTAGGTCTTAGATTTAAGTATTTGATCCATCTTGAATTTATTTTATATAAGGTGAGAGATGACCCAAAAAGGTCCTAGAATTGGTAAATGAATTCAGCAAAGTTTCAGGACACAAAATTGATGTACACAAATCAGTATCTCTGCTGTATACCAATAGCGACCAAGCTAAGAGTCAAATCAATAACTCAATCCCTTTCATGATAGCTCCAAAAAAGAGAAATACTTAGGAAAATACCTAATTCAGGACGTGAAGGTCTCTACAAAGAAAACTACAAGAAACTGTTGATAGAAATCATAGATGACACAAGCAAATGGAAACACATCCCATGCTCATGGATAGGTAGAATCAATATCGTGAAAATGGCCATACTGCCAAAAGCAATCTATAAATTCAGTACAGTTCCCATAGGTGTACCACCATCCTTCGTCACAGAACTAGAAAATAAACTATCCTAAAATTCATATGGAATCAAAAAAGAAGCTCAAATAACCAAGGCAAGACTAAGCCAAAAGAACAAATTTGGAGGCACCACATTATGCAACTTTAAGCTATACTACAAGGTCATATCACCCAAACAGCATGGTACTTATATAAAAATAGACACATAGACCAATGGAACACAATAGAGAACCCAGAAATAAAGTCAAACACTTACATTATACTAATCCTTGACAAAGCGAACAGAAACACAAAGTGGGGAAAGGATATCCTATTCAACAAAATGTACTCAGATAATTGGCAAGTCACATGTAGAAGAATGTCCATAAGGTTTTACAAGACTTTACCACAGTGTAGACTGCATTCTCACCTGAGACTCACCTGAGTACACATGCACTTCAAAGCTCTTTCAGATTGCTGCAGAACTAATTTCCTTGTATGTCTATGATTTAGGACTTCAACTTCTTATTGGATCCTGGCTGAAGGTTGCTCTCAGGTCCTAGATGCTGTGGGCAATTCCCTGCCATGTGATCTTCCCATAAGCAATGTACACATGGCTCTGTGCTTGCTCAAGAAAAGCAGAGAGTGTTTCTCTCCAGCCTGCTAGGGCAGACACTTATATAATACAATACAATCATTGGAAATACATCTCGTCACTCCTGCCATACTATATCAGTTAGAAGTGAGTCCTAGATTCTGCCTGCTCTCTGTGGGAGTAGATTATACAAGGCTGTGACTCATCAGGGAGAAGGTCATGCTAGGGTGTTCCAGCATCTTCAGCTTTTTCAAGTATCAGAGTACTGATACTGGGTGAGAAATCTGGCCCACATCCACTGACACTGAGTAGACCTGGGACCCCAGGGAACCTGGCAATCATCCTTTATAAGAGGTGTTTTAGGTTGACTCATCTTCTGTTGGTGTACAACATTAACAAAATATCTTAATTTGTCCTATTAAGTTTATCCTGACATGTCTTTGAAGTTCCTCAATTGCAGGTATCATAAGCCAATTCTGTCCAAATATATTCAAAATTTATATTTAATAATAGAAAAACAGATTATGAAGTAGTCTGCAAAACAAGACTCAGCAATAATGTCAATACTCAACTGCTTCGGCTTCATGCTGGATTAGCTGAGACCATTTGCATGAGTGATAGAAAAGGTACTGGATGCCGGATACTGCTGTGAGCACTATTGGCCTGTTGCCTCTAGAAATGTGCACAGAGGCCAAGGCTGCAACCATAGGTCTCAAAATATAAATATAATATAGCATTTTTGTTTGTTAATTCAAGTGCTTATTACTTCTACCATTACATAATACCATAATTGATAGTCTCCATTCTGGATAAAAATATTATTAGAGCATTCTTTAAATGTGGTATATTTAAAGCATACATTTCTATGTATTTATTACTGGAATACAAAATCATATGTGGTACCAAATATTGTAAACTCTGACATAATTACCATAATTTTTTCAGATATTTTCCCTTCATTTTCTTTTCTTTTTTTTTTTTTTTTTTTTTTTTTGAGACAGAGTCTTGCTCCATTGCCCAGGCTGGAGTGCAGTGGATGGATCTCGGCTCACTGCAAGCTCCGCCTCCCGGGTTTATGCCATTCTCCCGCCTCAGCCTCCCAAGTAGCTGGGACTACAGGCGCCCACTAACGCGCCCGGCTAGTTTTTTGTATTTTTTAGTAGAGACGGGGTTTCACCGTGTTAGCCAGGATGGTCTCGATCTCCTGACCTCGTGATCTGCCCGTCTCGGCCTCCCAAAGTGCTGGGATTACAGGCTTCAGCCACCACGACCGGCCATTTTCAACATAGATGTGATCATGGCATGTGCATTTTATTGATTGTTCTCAACATAAATTTCTTCTATTAATAATACAATAACAAAGTTGGCATTTTCCCATTTTAACTTAATTTAAAATGTAAAAGTAAAAGGAATGAGGTAGTGGTTCTTAGAAGAGAAACAAAAGCAATTCAACAAAAGCAGGAAAAAATAATAAATTTTTAAAATTATGTTTATAATGACAACATAGTACTATAGACAAAATGAACCAAATTACCTAAAATTTCATGGGAGAAAGGCACCATTTTAGGTCAATTGATGTTTTTCTCTCATTGAGTTATTTTATGAAACTTGCCAACTGGTGAGTGTCGGTGGAGGTTCCGGCGTGGCCCAAGCAGAGGGACTCTATAAGGAAGGAGAGTCCATGTAAGTTTGGCAGTTCTTGGCGCTACTTTAACAGAGTAGGCAAGAGCTGAGTTCTTAACACCAGGCTGGATTTCATATTGAGACATTTGCTGAGGTGTGGGTTAGGAAGAGTCGCTGGAGACTGCATGAGAAACGTAAAGTGAAAGCTCCCACATTCTCCCGAGTTTCCCTTCTAATCCTGCACTGATTGTCCTTCATGCAGGTCTAAAATATAGGCCTTAGGCTCCTACCATGCATCTCCTACTGATCTTCCCAGCCATAGCTCAGCCCTGGCTAACATTTTAACTAATTTGATATAAGGTATCTCCCGAATGACCATTCTCTCTCGTTTCATCCCCAGATATAGGACATACGTGAAATCAATTTTTGGAAGCTCACCTATGTCTTGCTGGGTTGACTGGGAAGGTGTGACATGACCTAACCTTAGGTCCTTAGGTGATATGACCCAACCTCACTTTTGCACAGGAACGTCTGTAACCCTTGAGTCACTAAATTCCTAGAACCCCACAATAAGCACAGCGACTCTATGAACTTGCAGTGGCATCCGGGCACAGCCTTGAAGGGCACGCAGGGGTCTATTCAACACCCTGATTCTTTCCAAGAAATACTTACAAGTTTCCATCTTGGTTAGTAGTTCAACTCCAACCACACCAGCATAGGGACCCCAGCAAACATGAGCAACAGAGCTGGGTTTGCACCAACAGATGACCTCTGCTACATGTCCTTCATGCTTGCTTTCACTGCTGCTGTCCAAAATCTTAATATTCTTATTTTGTATTAGGCAAAAAATTGCCATGCGTTATCTAATTTTTTTCAAAATTCTGCTGGATATGGCATAAAACACGCATGCTGCCTAATTCTTCCAAACTTGAATATTTATTTCTAAAACCCTTGATTTGCAATTCAAAATCCTCACCTTTTATTTCAACCTGCTGTGCCTGAGACTGGTCAAACACATTGGACACGTGACTTTTGTTTTTAAGTGAATTTAACAAAGTCAACCTAGTAGCCCAAAAACAGGAATGTACATTGTTTGACATGGGTAATTCCTGAAATCTTGGTGTAAAATGCTATGCCTGCCCCTTTGCTGGAGAGAGACATATGCTAAGAAAATGTAGAAGTGTGAAGGTGGGGGGAAGAAGAGAAACAGTTTTTATGTTACTAAACAAACCCGGCTGCGTCTATAACCAGTAACTATTCAAACAAAAGAAAATCCAAAAAAAAATCAGTCTTAGGTTGACATGAAGTAGCCTTAATTAAAAGTCGTTACACTGAATCCTTTTAGTTGAAAAATAGATGTAGGAAAGGCTAGGAGGATTTAGATGAACTTTCATTCAGTTTTCTCCATTATCATGTCTGGTTGCTCAGTGAGCACTTGGACCCCACCATTCTCCTGTAGATTTGGCCTGAGGTGTAGCCCCAGGACTCACAGGAGCAGCTTCCTGCAACTCATCCCCCTGAATTCTTTACTGTCTTGCCCTCTATGGTGCCTGCTCCCCCGACAAACAACACATGTGGGCAGCTGGGCCACCCAGCAGAGAGGTTTGTGTTCGGGGCTGTACCACTGTGAGGGAGCTTTGTACCTTGCATGCAGTAGTAAACACCAACATCCTCAGGCTCCACCCTGCTGATTTTCAGTGTGAAATCTGTGCCTGACCCACTGCCACTGAACCTGTCTGGGACCCCAGATTCCCGATTGGTAACTTTATAGATCAGGAGCCGTGGAGACTGGCCTGGCTTCTGCAGGTACCAATTCAAATAGGTGTTTCCATTACTATGCAGAATGCTCTGACTAGACCTGCAGGAGATAGAGGCTGGCTCTCCAGGGGTGACAGGCAGGGAGAGTGGAGTCTGGGTCATCACAACGTCTCCACTGGATCCTGAAGTAATGAGAGAGAAGTGCAAGGTTATAAACAAACATTACGAGGCATTTTCATGATTTGTTTTCTGTTACATTTTTCATGAAAGTCATTATTTTTATGAGTACATTTTTGGTTTGTATCCCAAAACATCCAATTTCACAAAGAATCAAATTTTTGAGGCAAAAGGGAGTCAGTTGAATTATCTCACACCATCCACCTCTTTCTGTGTCAGAGTCTTCTCCAGATCACAGGCCCCTGCTTCTTCTAGAATCTTTCTTACTGTCACAGCTTTAAACACCACATGCCCCATCCTAGAGGACAAGGCGCATCTAACACGGGACAGAATACCCATGAAAGGCAGCAGGGCCCCAAGAGCTCACCCTCCCACTCCATTCTCCTCCTCCATTTCCCTTCCATCCTTACCAGGGACCCAGAGCATCAACAGTCCCAGGAGCTGAACAGGGAGCCTCATTGTGAGAAGATGAACTGAGGAGTCCTGATCAGTCAAGGCAAGGGTAAAGCTGAGTTTTATCTCAGAGTCACAAGGGAAGGTCCTCCCTAGGGAACAGTATGCAAATACCCTGGTGGATGCAGTGGTGTGGAAAGAGCCAAGGGGAGTGTGCAGGGACTCTGTTGTGAGCAAAGTGACATAAAATATCTTCTGCATTTGAAGGACCATAATAAAGATAAATCTGATATCGCCTGAGTGGCAGAAGTGGCATATTTAAATGTTTCCTTTCATTTTCTCTAATAGATTTTTATTTTTTCTCACTTTCTCAGGCACATTTTACACTTCTCTTTAATAGTTTGAGTTTTATTAATATTTTATTATTCTTTTCAATGTTAAGAGTCTGGTTTCTGTCTTTTTAAAGTTTTTTTCTTTAATGGAAATGAAATACATAGAGTAAAGCTCACCAAACTTAAAAGTGCAACTGACTAAAGTTTATGTATATTCACTCTCCAGATGAAACCCTAGAAAATTCCAAATTCTCCTGATGCTTCCCTCATGCACCATCTTAGTTATTTCTCCTTCTATCCCAACCATGCTAACTGTCATTCTGGCATTCTGGTGTCTATCACAATAGATTGTGTTTTTCTGGGTTGAAAATCCACATAGATTGAAAAAAGAGTATTTTTTGGTTTGCTTTCATTTTTGTTGTTGTTATCTACCTTCTTTCTTGCTGCTTTTTTTTTAATGTGTGTAGGGTGGCTTCAATCCTACCCCTGGGCTTGAGTTGCTGACTGCTTTTATTTCCTGAAATTGTGAAGAACTTCCTCCTGAATATCTTGTAAGAAATATCTGTTATTTATTTTTAGTTTTCTTTTCTTTCTTTCTTTTTTTTTTTTTTTTTCTTTTTGAGATAGAGTCTCACTCTTTTACCCGGGCTGGAGTGCAATGCCACCATCTCGGCTCACTGCAACCTCCGCCTCTCAGGTACAAGCAATTCTCTTGCCACAGCCTCCTAACTAGCTGGCATTACAGGCGCGCACCACTATGCCCAGCTAATTTTTGTATGTTTAGTAGAGACTGGGTTTCATCATTTTGGTCAGGCTGGTCTCAAACTCCTGACCTCGTGATCAGCCCGCCTCGGCTTCCCATAGTGCTGGGATTACAGGTGTGAGCCACCGTGCCTGGCCTTTTCTTTTATTGTTGAAGGACATTTTCACTAGAAATAGAATTCTTGGCTGCCTTTTTTCCCCCTGGAAGTTGATTATCTTCTATACTCCCTAGGTTACAATAAAATATTAGTCAATGGTTTTATTATTGTTTCTCTGAGTTTTTATATTGAGTCGGTTTTTTCTTGATGTTTTCTCCTCTTTGTCTTTCAACATTTTAACGATGATATGTTTAGTTATGAATCTCATAGTGCTTATTCTAATAGACATTATTGAATTTCTTTAATCTACACATTAATGCATTTCATTACTTTTGAGAAGTTGCTGCAATCCTTTCTTCAAATATTTTTTCAGGTACTTTTTCTCTTTTGTTTTTATTCTGTCAATATTGGTCACAATTCTCTTTTTCTTCGAAGGTTTGGTTTTTACTTTAAAACTGCACATTTTAGATCATGTGTTTCTGGATTCTATTTTATTGTCCTGAGCATTGTTAAATGTATTTTAATAACTTGCCTGGACCTATACTGAAGAATCTACTGCTCCCTCCCCAAACCCCTACCGTGATGTTTGATCACTGATATCTCTGTTAATTTTTCATTCTTAATTTTAATATTTAGCTTGGATTTATAAAAGCTGCCTATGTGTTTGCTTAGTGGTCACTCATGATTTGGGCAGAAGTTTTGCTCAAATATCTGGAACTCATAAATCTACCTTCTCCCATTCCGTCTGTGTATGGCCTGAAAAGTACAAGCAAGATGCCATCAGTTCTTAACTTCCCTGTGTTTTAACTTATCACTACGCCTCCTTCAATCTCTGTTATTCATACTTGCAGATTTTAAGTCACCAGGAATTTGTGCAGAGATTATCTCAGCAATTCTATAACTCTGTTAAACCAGAAATGAACTAGTAACTTTCAGCTGGGGTACCACTTGCCCCAACCAAGGCCCTCATCTTAAACTAACAAAGCTGTGGGCTTGCACAGTCCATTTCCTGCATAGTTCATCACAGTTAGCTGGAAACACTAAAGGATCTTGTTCCACACCAGCTCAAGTCCACTGTCTTTGATGGCAGGCTGCTGGTTTCTGCAGCCATCCTCATGTTGGAAAATCTCCAGTTCTGCAATTCATGTTGACTAAGCTGGAGTGAAAGGGAGCTGTTCCAGCAAAGGGCCTCAGACATTTCCTGTCCTTACCCAAAGCACTACACTTTCTTATAAAGATATACATTTAAAATTTTTTTTAAGCTTTGCCAATTTCCACACTGCTGAAATAGGATTGATATTTGTTAGCTTTATACTTATATTTGGGTTTATTGTTTATTTTTGCTGAGGCTTTAATAAACTCTTTGTGACACCATAAACAGAGATGTCTTGTAAACTGAATTTAAATGAATATAATAGCCACATTGAAAGAGAATGGGGATATTTACAAAAATAAGTAATTTTGAAATTGAGAATTTGAACTCTGTACCGTCAGTTTAAAGAGAAACCAAACTCTTAACAAATAGGAAGCTCTAATCCCTAGACTTCACATTCTCAGATGAACACACAGTCAATTTGTAAAATGCCTTATACACATTCTAGGATTGAGAATATAAATAAATATACTCTGCATGAAGACAGTCAAGATCGTCTTTAACAGACATGAGAAACACAAAAAGGAAAAGGTGGAAAATATGATGACCCTTGTGAAATTATTTAATTAGAATCCATATTTTTCGTATTTTTATAGATATATTTTAATTAATTTTGAAATGCTTTTAAACTTAAAATTTAAATAATACAGTAAAGATTGTTCCCATATACTCTTCCTGTAGCTTCTTCCAATGTTAGCATCAAGCATAACTACAGTGTAAGTACCTATACCAGAAAATTAACATAGATACACTACTATTAGTTAAGTAATTTGCAGTCTCCTTCAGATTTCACTGATTTTTCCAATAGTGCCCTTTTTACATTCCAGGGTAAAATCCAAGATAGTATATGACAGTCAGTTATTGTTTCCTTACTGTTTCCCAAACTGTGACAAAGTTTTTAAAATTTTGTTTGTCTTTCAGGATCTTGAAACTGTTGAAGTGTACTGGCCAGTTACTTTGGAGAATATCCCTTAACTTGGGTTTATTTGAAGTCTTCTATTGACTAGATTCACATTTTTTTTTATTTTCAGCAAAAGTATTACACATGGGATGTGTCTTCAATGTATATCAGGAGTTAAATAATGTCCACATGTCCTATTACTGGTTGTGATAAATGAATACAACCAGTGAAATCTGTTTTAGAAGGAAGTCTTGGACAAAGCTAACTGAGACAGCTGCTTCTACTACTCTGTATTTGGTCATATGGAGACTTTTGGATAAATAATTTTTTTCTGTCAGATCTTGTTTTTTCTCATGCTTTCTAGGCTTTAATCCTTTTAAAGCTTACTGTACAATGGAGAATATTAAATTAATTAATTAATATTGACTTTAATAAATGAAAAAAGAAATATTAGCTCTTAAATGACTAAGTTTTCTATCATGGCCATTTACTACTAAAATGTTAATAGTCTGAAGCAAACAAAAGAGAAATGGGATTTATTATAACATGGTAGTATCCACAAATGAACAGCTGTTCTTGAGTCAACTGTTTGGATAAACAAATAGAATTTTCCATCACTTGGAATATTGCAGGAACCAAATGGACAGCTGCAGCATGTACTGAGCTACTTCTACTGAGAAGATTCAGATACCATTGGTGTTGTATTAGGATGTACACAATTCAGACACTGTGTCTGGAAATAGTAATAACAAAATTAATGGCAGCACATATTATGTCTTGAATACTGTTCTAAATGCTTTACCTTGTTTAAATTGTAAAAAGACCTAAAGGTAGATCATATCATTGTCACGGTTCCAAAGATATGGAAACTGAGGCAAAGGGAGGTTAAGCAACCTTACCAATGTCATACACTCTGTAAGCATTAGAGCTGTGTCCTCATATAAAAGAGCTTAACTTCAGGGTTGGCCAAGATAATGTCTGGACTGCTGGATGCATATTGTCTGACTCTAATTCCAGAATGGATGCAGACTTCAGTGGTACTTGGAGTAGCATTAATAAAACTACGTCCTTGCCTCCTACAGAGCGATTTGGAAAGCCAAAGAGTTAAACTGCTTGAAGAAAAGAAGCAGATTTATTTATAGAAAACGAAGTTTAGGAGTGTGAATACAGGCTCTTAAAACTGTTAAGACAAAGAGGGGCTGGTTTTGGGTTGATGGAAGGGTTTTACAGAATCAAGTGGTGTGTTAATGAGATCACCCAAGGAATTGTCTCCTGCATTGACAGCATAATCATCTGTCTTCAGCAATATGGAATTGGTACCCTGAGGGGTCAGAGTCTGTCCCTGCTCTTCTGTACCGTTGTGGTCGTCCTTGCACCTGTAGTGCTGGAGTTACTTGAGTGTTGCTCTTTGAGGCAGATTCAGGACCCTTGGGAAAGATCCCTAAGCAGTAAGGAAAAGGTGTGCTTGGAAGATAAAGTTCTCATCAACTCTTCATTTTAACTTGATTCCATCAACTACCAAGGGAGACAGCTAGACACATTTGGGACAGAAACAGAAAATGGGACCATAGGTTTCTATTTTATTCCTGGCACAAGACAAATGTCTTCTGCCAAATGACATTTGCTGAATCTAGATGATGGAAACAGGAGGACATAGAGATACAATTCTGTGACCAAGGATGGATATTTTACACTCAGGCTCAGACAACAGCCTTTTCTGACCTGACCACTTGAGTAAAAGGTGACCAATATAATATTTACACATTACACATCTATAAAATACATACATGTATTTTATCAAATGTGATGGTATAAATATGAATAGTAAACCATTCAGAA